ATGTGACCCAGTCGATATCGTATTTGATCTGAAACAGCAAGGTTTTAAAATCGTGAACGCGGTCAACAAGTGGAAATCACATTCAAAGATTCCACTTAATATGTTCATGCTTACATTCGAGACGACAGAGAATATAAAAAAAAATACAACATTAAAGCCATTTTAAACTGTGTTGCTAAAATTGAACCAATAAAGCACTCAAAGCAAATACCACAGTGTAAAATATGCCAAGCGTATGGTCACACACAAAATTATTGCGGCAAATCAGCCCGGTGTGTTAAATGTGCTGGCAGTCACAGTACTGCAGAATGCAACAAACCTGATCAGCACCAACCAAAATGTTGCAATTGCGGTGAGGGACATTCGGCCAATTATAGAGGTTGTATAGTAGCGAAAGAACTTCAAAAAGTGGCAGCAATCCATATTTCCAGCAGACAAAACCATTCTTAACAGACTTGCAAAATAACTTAGCCTAAAAATCAAGCAATTTAAAAATAATCCATTCAACTACTACCTATCTATAATAACTTAAGTAACGATCGTGCAACCAACTATTTTCTCTGGAAATGCACACGAATCATTAAGCGACCTTTAGTACACAAAGCCCCAATTAAAAATCACGCTAATCAATGACCTAAAAACGATGACGAAAAAGTGGAGGTCTTTTTCGAACACCTGTCTAAAGTGTTTTCCATAGACGGAAACGTTAACAATGCAGTAATCTGCCATTCTAGGACAGCACATTCATTCTGTATTCCACCAACCACTAAGCTGGAGGTAATGATGATTATTAAAAATGAACTTAAACTAAAAAGAACCCCAGGTTATGAATTGATAAGTGCTGAAGTATTAAAATAAATTCCTTCAAAATGCGTAGTCAAAATTACGAATATATTTAATGCTATAATGCAGATGCGAACACTTCCATCCCTGTAAAAAATATCTGAAATTATTATGGTACCTAAGCCAGGAAAGAATGTTAATGACGTCAGTGGTTACAGACCAATAGCACTCCTGCCTATACTTTCCTTCCTCTGATTTAAAATCAAAACATAATACCTTTACATCAGTTCGGTTTTAGGTGCAATCACTCCACTATAGATCAAGTCCATAGGATTACCAATGTGATAGAAAAAGCTCTTAAGAAAAAAAAAATCTGCTCAGCCGTGTTTTTAGATGTCTCGCAGGCTTTTGATAAAGTCTGGCACTCCGGATTGCTTACCAAAGTAAAAAATATTCTCCTAACGGAGTATTATAACATAATTTCCTTTTACCTATCTGATCGTTACTTTAGAGTAAAGTATGAGTAAAGTATCTAGCAAATTGCATAAAATTAACGCTGGAGTTCCACAAGGTTGTGTTTCCCCTCTTATATCTCGTATATACATACGACCTGCCAACGAGTGCAACGACGTTCACAGCAACTTTTGCTGACGATACTGCAGTTCTTGCAGCTGGAGACAGCGCAGTAATAGCAGCTAATAATTTGCAAAAGAGTATGGACAGTATAATTGCTTGGACAAGGAAATGGAAATTCAATCTGAATAAAAAAAATATCAGTCTATGTAAATTTCACAAATCGAGACTTCAGTTATATACTCGTTTACATCGAT